AGAAATATGGCATTTTTTGAATGTCAAACTGCCATCCGTCAAATATGGAATTGGAATTGGTTGTATAAATCCATTTCAATTAATAATTGTGGCATAGGTATTGATATGTCTGTGCAACCAGGACAGAATGAGACGGTTGGTGGACTCACAATCTTGGATTCTCATTTTTATAATACTAGAATAGGAATTATCACTTCTGCTAATGCACAATCTATGCCTCCAAGTGCCGGGCAAATTCTGTTGGATAATGTTCATTTCGACAAGACTCCAGTTGCAGTTCAAAGCCCAGCCGGTGAAATTATTTTACAGGGTAACCAACGAATCAATTCATGGGGACAAGGTCATGTTTACACGCCTTCTTCTAGAAACTATACGTTCATTAGGGGCCTGCTTCCTCCACCAAATAAATCTGCTTTATTAATGGAAGGATCAAAATTTCTGGAATACTCAAGACCTGAGTATTTAGAATATTCTGTTAACCAATTTGTGACAGTGAAAAGTCTAGGTGCTAAAGGTGATGGAATGACGGACGATACTGCGACTATTCAAAGAATTATTGATACTTACGCGGCAAACAAGATTATATTCTTTGATGCTGGTGCTTATATACATACAAATACTGTTTATATACCACTGAATGCAATAATCGTAGGTGAAGTTGAGTCAATTATTATGGCACGTGGCTCGTCTTTTGGTGATGCACTAAATCCAAAGCCTGTATGGAAAGTCGCCCAACAAGGTGAATCAGGCAATGTGCAGATCGTTGACATGCTTTTCTCACATCAAGGACCGGTACCTGGTGCAATCATGATGGAGTGGAACTTAAAATCTGCATGCCCAGGAAAGTCAGGCCTCTGGTCTACACATTTTCGTACGGGTGGTGCAAAAGGCACAAATCAGACTCCATCGAATTGCTTGAAGTTGACTGGTGCAAGTCAAAGAACAGAATGTCAGGGCGCATTTCTTCAACTTCATGTTACTTCTTCTGCGTCTTTATACATGGAAAATACATGGCTCTGGGTAGCTGATCACAATTTAGATTATCCAGATCATTCTCAAATTGATATTTTCAATGCTCGTACCATATTAGTCGAGAGTCAAGGTCCACTTTGGATGTATGGAACTGCGGCGGAACACTCAGTACTTTATCAATATCATTTCGTCAATGCAAAGAATATTTTGCTCGGACAAGCACAAACTGAAACAGGCTATTTTCAAAGTAACCCACCAGCTCCTGAGCCGTTCACATCTCTTACAAATTGGTTTGATCCTGTCTTTGATATGTGTTCAAAGGATAAATTTAGTTGTACCAAAGGATGGAGTCTAGACATAAATAACACAACAAACATGTACATCTATAATGCCGGTCTCTATAGTTTTTTCCAAAACTGGAATACTTCGTGTATCGGCACAAGCGCAAATAGTTACTGTCAAGACACTCTCTTTCGAATCAGAGGAAATTCTCAGAACTTATATCTTTGGAATCTGGAAACTGTAGGTATTGAAAATATGGTTGAAGTCGATGGTATTGTCAAGGTTAAAAGCAGAGATAATTTGGGTGTTTTTCCTGATGGAATACTTGGCTACTTTATTGATGGATTAGACTTTAAACAATGAGAATTTCGCATGTGAATAATTAGGTTCATCAATAAAGACATGATATAGTTGATGTGAAACTGGGATGTGGGCGTGAGTAAAGGAAAGATCTCTGCCTATATTGACACACCCTTTTGTGATAATTCCCTTAATAATCGAGAGTATTTTCATAATTTTTTTTTAATTATAGTTTTATTGTTCCTTTGGTAGCTTAACAAGATAATATCTTAATAGAGTGTGTATAACAAAAAGAACAAAAAACGCGAAAGAGAGTGAAAGAAAGAAGCAGAAAATGAAACGTATATATATGCCAAACTAAACGACTTTACACTAAATAAATAAACTTTCGGTAAAACACAGAAAGGAGGGATATAGAAAAAACTACATGTTGAAGATTAACATAAGTGTAAAGCGATTAACATCGTAACACCCTTTTCTTTTTTATCTTCTTTTTGTGTATCATGGTTTTGTAGTATTGATATGATTCAAGGCGGATGGGGAAAATACTTCACTATTGTCCACTCTAGAACACAAGAAGATTTTTTGAAAATTTGAAATTGTGGTTTTTGAATATGGAGAAAGGTTAGGTAATCCAACTTTTTACTTTGAGCTGTGTCAGCTAATCTTTTTGGAAATCTAGCATTTTCTCTAAAGCCACAACTCTTATAGTAGATGTTTGCGGGTGATGCTGCAATAAGGTAAGAATTTGTTGTTTGTTGAAAATCAACACCTTCTGGAGATTCATCTAAGTGTTTCATGAATTTAACTCAGTTTTTCAATATATAATCTGATAATGAGGTTTCTTTAGTGAACGTGAGAGTAGCATAATCCTCCCATCCAAGAAGGGTGCAATTTAACCTTATACCAGAACAATAGACATGTTTAATGTTAGCCTACTGTTTTTTCTGTATGGAAAACCAAGTGGCAAACAACCAAAAATATTTTCATAATTTATTTGTTCTATGTTCTTCATGTATTTATATAGTTGATGATAAAAGTCTTGCCGGCCTTGAAATGAATTTTTCAAACAATTTTTGACGTATGACAATAGGCTACAACGCATATATATAGAGAGAGAGGAGTTCGAGACATTTACCAAGCACATAACAGTTTTATAAGCCTCTGCTGCCTCTTTGGGTAAAGTAAAAAAATGTGAATATATCCATTTTTCGATGTTTTTTTTTAGAGATAAGATGGCTAGTATAAGGTGAGTTAGAATTTATAGTTTTTGACCAATCAGAGAAAAGAACTTTAACTATGTTTCGTCAACGAGAAATACCAAAAACACTAAATACGAAATTTCGAATTATAATTTATTCACTAGAAATCCGTCAGCTCGAAATTTCGGTCTCATCTCATATGATGCACCTCATCACTGAACAAGTCTTCCAAAAATAAATGTGTCTACATAATTTCCATGTGGAAAATATTTATCAAAAAGAACGGCAAAGAACGCATTTCAATTTCTTAAGGAAAGTTTTCTTTTCTTATAAAAACAGCTTTCACGTTCTCGGAACGTGTTCTTGGTCGTTACTATTTAAAATGATGAAAAAAGCGTCCCTAGATCAGTTTTTCTTATAAGAACCCTCGGAGAGTTTCGAATGATTGGCAAAACAAACTTCTTAGGAACCCTTGAGAAACCAGGAAAAAAGGTGAGAAATATCTGTAAACTGTCCAAAAACTTCCGAGGCAGTCTACAGATATTTCTCACCTTTTTTCCTGGTTTCTCAAGGGTTCCTAAGAAGTTTGTTTTGTCAATCATTCGGAACTCTCCAAGAGTTCTCATAGGAAAAGCTAATCTAGATGCTACTTTTTCACAAAAGAATTTAAGAAGGGATTTATTAGATTTCCACATTCATACAGGAACCCTTAACAAAGATAATCAGGATATCACTCAATCTTCCTATAAGATTCATGTACCCTATCTAAGAAGCATATCCTCATCTAAAATAAAGTCAATAGAGAAAACATTTCTCAATCTACTCAATCTGAAATCACTGACTACTCTATATAACTACACTCCACGAAAAAAACCGATTGCTTCTATTAAGATGGAATAAAGCTAAAGAAGAAGTGACTCTATCCTTATTAGATGGGAAAATGATTACTTTCATCAGAATGACATAAAATTAAAGGAAAACTATCTCTATCTCTACTAGATGAGGAAAATGATCATCTTTATTAAGATGGAATGAAAACTAAAGAAAAACTGTCTATACCTCCACTAGATGTAAAAATAATTTTTCTGATAAAGATCAAATAAAACTAAAGAAACACTAATTTATCTCTACCGAATGAAAAAAATGATTATTTCTGTTAAAATTGAATAAAATTAAACGAATTTAAAAAGAAATGATTTTTTAAAATTAGTATCGAAAATAATTAAAAGGACACTAATTCTCTCTTTACTAGATAAAAGAAATGATTATTTCTATTAAGATGTAATAAAGCTACATGGGCAATATAATACAAATTGTGGGAAAAGCTTGTTAAGTTCATCAAAGAGAAGAATTGTTGCATATTCGTTTGCCGAACGACTCTGAATTTTTCTAGAATCCTTCATATTGTTGGATATTGCTTGTGTCTCCTTTTATTGTTTTTGTCAACATGTTGTAAATAAGACTGTCATGATATCGATAGCTAAAAACTCAACGTTGAAAACAGATGTTAATAAAAGAAATAAGAGTTATGATGATAATTTTTTATGAAGAGAACAATGAGCAAAAAAATTTAATGTATTTGAGAACACTGACAAATCCATTTGGGGCCAATCAGTATTCTTTCTCAATATAACGAGATAATTTTATATGGGTTATGAAACGGACGAGAAGGTGTTCTGTATTTTTAAAATTGATTTTTGAATTCACGAGAAAGCATTCAACAATTAGGAGAACGACAGAGAACGCGTTTATCAATTCGAAGAATACATTTTCAAGCATTTCTTGAGAGAAGGTCAAAGAAAGCGTTCTCATTTTCATGGAATCCGATCCTGACTGTTCCAAAAATCAAGGGGTTCAGAAAGCTTTCTCTTCAGATGAAGAACGATTTTGAACCGAGAAGAAACCGTCCTATCAAAACGTGGAACGACAAAGAACGCGTTCCTTCAAATGCATAACTCATTCTTGTCGCTCATGAATGTATTTGCCTAACTATAGAACGCGTTCTTCATGAGAAAGATAACTTTCCATGCTTCGCTGAACGCGTTCACTTCCGTTTTTTTTCCATGACTATTTTTCACTGGATTTGCTTTGCTCAAATAGGCAGCATAGGCTTATAAAACTGTTCTGTGCTGCATAAATATCTTGAACTCTTCTGTATACATATATGTTGCATTCGGTTCTCATCCGTCAAAAATAAAACGAAAAATTCATTTCAAGACGGGCAAGACTTTTGTCGGCGACTACTGGATCCATACTACCACCTTTTGATATTCACATAAAATTCCAGTAAAATTAGCTATATATGTAAAAATAATTCGTGAACTTTCAGGAATTTCAAACTCTGCACGAATTTCTAATTATATCATTCTTTTCAAAATTTTACCAATTTTTAAAACTTTAAAAACGTGGGTGTGCATATGAATATTCGTCTCCTGTTCATCCACTGTGACACTCACATCCAAGATCCCCGACCACACCCACATCCTCAAGACACATACAAAATGTAACAATATTTTGAACATTTCTATTATGCTAAAAACGATGGGAAGTAACATTGATGTATTTTCTTTTCACTTTGAGTATGAAAGAAAATATGAAGAGAATTCAATAGAGTTTGTTTTTTACAGTTTTTGAAAAGTTTTTCACACGGCATCTTTTAAAATAAAAACTAAGGCTTTTTGATTGATGTGTGCAGAAATATTTGCGAAAAAAACCATGTTGCAAACATTTTGAGACATCCAATATTTCAAATTATTAATATTTTAATAATATTACCGTCATTTGTCAATGAAATTCAATTTTTTTAGCACAATGATCGATTGAAAAAGCTTTACAAAGTTGGATAAAACGGAAAGTTTTCTGCATATCTTGTGTTTTTCGTGATAGATGGACTATGAAAATATCTTATAATAAAAATATTATTTTGTATTTTATTATGTAACTTTTTTTCTTAATACTGAAGTTAATTTTTCGAATCGAACATATATTTATGTATAGTACTCGATCTCCGCTATTGAATCATATAATAAGATTAAATTAATCTTGTGCAATTTTAATAGACGACTAAAAACACAAAAAAGTGGGGCCAAACTTTTGATCCACACTAGAGCTGATACGTTGAGTTCCATTTTTATTCATTCAACTACATTCTTTACATTCGTATACATGTCGAATAGAACACTGGACATACAAAAAAAAGCAATTTAAAAGATTCCTCAAGAAGAAAAAGGAGTACATCTGCAAGAAAATTGATGCATTCTGCAGAGATTTTTATGGATCATCCGATTTTATTTTTATTGAGTGACTACACGATCGAGTATTACATAGTGTGTGAACTAATTCAAGAAAAATGAGCATAAATATATGTATGCAACTATTTGATGACTAAAGAACATATCAAAATGAATGCTATTCAGAATAAATCATGTGACGACTAAGATTAAAAAAACTATTCAATACTATTTTTTTACATAATATTATTAATAATGAATAAAGAGAAAATAACAAACTGGATGATTGCATGCCTTTTTTTTTTAATTTCTTACTACTCATTTAACAAGGTATTACTATTGTGCTTTTGATTATTATGATGTGTATTTTTATTGACATTTAAAACGATTATTCATATCACTACTTGCCATTCTAATTTAATGATCAACAAAAATAATGTACATCATTTAAATAAATGATCTATGGATAAAAATAAGACACTTGCTTTGCATTAAAAATAAGAATGTCGGTGACTTCAATGTTTGTTTTTTTTTTTGAATTTATTTTTGATAAATATGTATTTCAAAAAAAACATATCTCTAACTGATCATTCTCATAAATAATTATCTATATGTATTATTTTATTTTGTAAAAATTAACTTGAACAAAATGATTTGTCCCAAAAACAATTTTGCTCATTATTCGTTGTTTTTCATTTAATAACATACTATTAGTAGAGCATAAGATGAATATTTGGATCATTTAATGATTTTAATTCAACTTCAAACTGATAGCTGAAGAATTATTCGAACAGTTAGAAATAGTCACATTATGATCTAACAATTATTATCAAAACTTTGATTATCTACCATACTTGAAAGGAAAACTGATAATTAATTAATTATCATAAAATAAATGTTTTATTTTGTTTTTTGGAAATTCGAAAAAAAATTTCTACTTTTTATGATTAGCTACTTGTTCTGAAAATTAGGTCAATTTTTGTTAAACAACAACTCTAGCAGATAAATATATCAAGTTTTCATAGTTTATGAGAAAAAAAAAACATTGAATTTTCGTCGATTATCATGCGTTTTTTTTTTGTTTAGTTTAAAACATATGAAAAGTGATGCTTTTGAACTGAAACTTTTTTTCCATCGGAAATAAATTAGATTTAGATTATCTCTGAAAATTAATTATACTTGCTTTTCTTGTTCTGATTTATTTAAATTGAACTTCTTCTATTCGTCATATATATATTTCTTTAAAAATAAAAAAATAAATATATCTGCAGATTCAATCATAATTACATATGTCAATGAAAATACAATATCATACAGAACAAAAATTATATGTATTTGAGGAAGAAAATGTTTTGATAAAATATCGAAAAATTCAAATCATTCCTTTTTTATTTATTTATAGAGTAGTATAACCGTGTTAATTTAACTGAATATGTACTGTGTTGTTTTTTTTTTGTTTATATTTATCTAAATAAATCCAATAAAATTACGTATATAACTATGAATAGATATCGATAATAACCTATATTTATCTTCATCCATACGTATTAGAAGGCAAATATGACTATAAATAAGTAGATCAAAAAATGAAAAAAAAAATTATGATTGAAGATAATATTCATATATTATATGTGTTTAGTCAAGCAGAGAGAATAATCAAATGGTAAGACTAATACTTTTGAGTGTATATATTGATAAAATCTTAACTCTAATATCATAGTTTTTTTATTGAATAATTCGATGTTATACGAATATGTTATTTGATAAACATTGTAACAATCATATTTGACTATATAAACAACATTTTCTTTTTTTTTCTTTAAACATCGAACATTAAACTTCTATCATTATTCACAAACTGATTTTAAATATTTTAAAGACAAAAAAAATGAAATTATCATTTTGTCAATTATTTCTTTTTTTATTAACAATTATAAATTTTTTTCAATATCAAAATTGTTTTAAATTACGCAAATCTAAAGAAAATAATTATAAACAACTATACAAAGCCACACAACAAGTAGTATCATCTCTATTATCTCCAGTCTGTTCTCAAATTTTATTCAATCAAAATAATATACAATCTAAATATATATCTACAAAAGGTTTATCTGGTCGTGTTTTACCAGCTGGAACATTTCCAAATACAGTTTTAGCTCTAGAATATTTATATGGACTACTTTGTGAATTTCAAAATTTCCCATCACGACCATCTACTATTCAGTCAATTGATATAGCACGTATCACTTATGATCCAGAATATTTTATTACTCAAGTTCAATTAATTGTTCATGTACATGATAATAAGAAATTAACGCTGTTTGCAAGTATGGCTTTTGAAAAATAGTATAAACTATGTGGCTATGATGGACAATTACAAAATCTTTGATTGACATACGATCCATCAACGGATATAGAACGTCTAACAGCAATACAAACCATATGTGAAGTAACACAAACATTTTGTAATGGAACATTACAACAATATTCAAGTGTCAACGATTGTATACAATATTTAACGACACAAGTACCTTTTGGTTCACTTGATAGAGGAGATCAAGGAAATGTTGCTTGTCGTACTATTCATGCACTTTTTGTTCCTTTATTACCATTTGTACATTGTCCACATGTTGGTCCTTATGGAGGAGGAGCATGTACTGATAAAACGATTGATTTTTATTATAATCAATCAGATTTTCTTGGTTGTGCTCACAAACAATATTAAGACAATAAAACGTGATTTTTTTAATATCTAAATAAGTGGACGAAAACAAAGACATGCTGTAATAAAAGAAATGTACATTTCTAAATCAATATCGATTTTCCTTATAATAAAAAAAAACAAAACCAACTAAAAATCTGTATCGTTTTACTACAAATATAATATCAGGTGTATTGCCAAACTCTATAGTTACATTCCTATCTTTAAAATTTATTTTTTCAAGATAATAGTGTTCTATTGAAGATTCGTTCCTATAACTTTTTAAGCAGATAAGAAGATAGGATGGGTATGTGGGTGTAACTGAAGAGAAGATAGACCCCCACACACCCACTCGCAAATTTCATTTGAAAATCTGCATCTACCCAGTAGTTATCATGTTTTGAATTTTTGTTATGCGCTATGAGAATTTTAGCAAACATCCAAAAGATTATAACTCCTGGACGGTTTCATATTTTTGCATGAAATTTGATATCCTTCGATGAATTTTAATATAGCTTACGGCTAAATTTTAAAATATAGAAAACTATTCATAGCAAAAGAAAATTCTTGAAGAGACTGGGGGAAAAGCTATTTTGTTTTTCGCAAACTCCTATTTCAAAACTCTTCTGGTAAAAAACGCATCATTTAAGTTCGACATCATACCTCTATAGGTTCGATCTGAACTTCATGCTCTAAGAATGGATTCAGCGTAAGAAAAAACTCTGGAGCCACCACTAAATAGCTCAACGTGGTGATTTTGAAATAATAAATGATATGGATAGGATCTTTACATTACTATGTTAGCTTTCGACACTTAATATCCAGATATTGGTTTTTAGAAAAGTCTACTTATTTGTATTTAAATAAACTCAGTTCGCATGAACAATAATTATTGAGCAAGCTACATTCTTGAAATCCTTCTTTTTTAATTATTACTTGAAAAGTTGTTTTGCATAAAATATAGTGATTGGAATTTTCTTACTTTCCTGCAGAAGATGTATGAATTCGCCTTTAATGAAAATAATTTGCTTTTCGAGTTTCTTTTGAAAAAAATAAGATTTATAGAAGTTAGTGCAAAGGAAAATTTTAAATTAAGTTGATAGTTCGAAAAAAATTTTTCTTTAAATTGAAATATGTTGTTATACATTATAATCTAATTTTAACATTCATGTCTATAACAGTTCAAAACGCTATAATGTAATATTTTAATACTAATCTGACTCAGTCTTGATATGAAAAATAATTTAAGATTATAGAAGTAAACAATATGAATTGATCCAGGAAACGATTAGAACTAATAGTTGTATTATTGCTAAATTTAAATTGAATGCATCAAATATCAGAATTGTCAGCTGTAGAACTACTATTAGTAGTGGAAGAATTTTTTCCTATGTTATTCATTAACTTTTTTTTATTGATTTCTCTGCACTCAATAGAGCATACACGAAAACTAAAGAATTAGGACTAGTTACCATACGAACAAAAAGTTTAGCTGCTATCGACTAAAATCCATACATATTGTATTTCAGATATTCGTTATTAAAATTTAATCTTTTACTCGATTAAAAAATAGACAAAATTATAAAATTCTAGTATTTTTCTTCTCTACAAATAGAATAGACTGATTAAGTTTAAATGTATTTAGGAAAACATTGAGCATATTCATTGTATATTGAACTGATATCACTTCTAAATACTTGGTCATCATAAATAAAATATAATTATTCGTGACCACTTGTGATTTGCGAGACAATTTTATCATTCATCTACTTGAATACATTTAGCATTCTAGCCGATGATTAAATCTCAATAATTGCATCGAAGCATATTACTGATACTAAGTTTTGAATTTCATTTCAACTTCTTTATAAATTCTATTTAATCAACTTTAAATTCGTTCTACTTCTTTATGAAATGTATAGAAAAGTAATAAAACTTTGACAGATCGATATATATTATTTTCTAAAAACTATTCATCTTTGAATAAAATTTTATTGAAGTTAGGCAGTTACAATTGACAGATTCATAATTTTAATTGCTCTTCGATTCATTAACAAGAAAAAAATAATATGACAACAATATCTTTCAAAATAATTAGATCTAGTGACTCAATAGTGAAATCTCATAGTATGCGATTTTTAAGTAAATTCCTTTTGCAATAGATAAAGCTAAAGCGAAAGATTGTTAAATAAAACTATGTTTATTTTCAACATGTTCTAGTTTTAGTGAAGAGAAAAAATACGAAATTTACTTAAGAATTTAATCATTTTTTTTTCAAATATTTTGTAAACCTTCCGTGATTTGATAATAAAACAATATCATAACGTAAAACTCTCAGATTATGCTTTTTTAAATGAAGAAGGCATAAATTAATGAGAATTATAGTTATTTTATAAAGATTACTGAAATAATTATAAAACAACAGAATTTTTGTTGTTTTTTTTAAATGACCTCTCGTATTAACTTGACTCTTTTGTCAGTGTAATTAGTTAGATAAACCTATTCAATGACTTTATGAATTATTCTATAGTTCTATCAAATTTGATGTCAGCAGTTACTTTTAGAAAGAAATCTTGAATGGGTTCTTTGGTACACATTTTATCTTCGTATACATATTTCAATTGTCAGTATGTAGTAGTTAAATGAAGTTTTCGTGGACATCTTTCATTTTACTTGTTCAGATACATCAGTATTGGCATTGACACTTACATTAAATACGCGATATATTCAATTTTCAACAATAAAATAGTCACTGATAAAAAAAAGCACACAATGATCAAGGTCAAAAGAAATTGAATATCTGACAAAAAACATGTTCATTTTTTTTTGAAACTTTCAAGGCTTTCTACTGATTAACAGATCTATCCATAGACAACATATCATATCAAAACTTTTGGTTTAAACTTTATTTTATTTTTTTTGAAATATTTTATTTGAATGCCACATATAGACTAAGTATTAGAAGATTTGCTTTCGAACAAACTGAACGAATATAAATAAGATATTGAATAAAAAAAAAATAGGAAAATTTTTCGATTACTTTTTAAAAGCAATACAATTGATAGTCTATTTTCATATGAAATATCAATTACATATACGTACGCATCTACAGATGATAATAGTATTGCAAATCGAACTTTTAATAAATAACAAAGATTTTTTGACTGAAAGAAAGTTTAAGAATAAATACTAGTATTATATGGAAAAGTTGATAATGAAAGAACAATATATTTACATAGATTTTGTATTTTTCTCAATATATATCAAATTCTCTAATTAAGAATATCGTTCTTAAGTATGAAAATAATCAAATTATAGTTCTGATTATTTGACCACTACGCTAATATGAAACATAATTAAAAATAAAATTCAAAAAACAATCTTCAAATCACAAGATAGACTAGATAATACAAATCCAATAAAGCATACCATATTCTATTGACATATATTATCTTTATTTTAAGCCTTGATTGATACAAATGATTTCATTCATAAATTGCATTTTCAATATTAAAAATATAACTCGTAATATTTCTATTGTTGACAGTTTACATAAACATTTTGTAATAAACTTGTTTCTTCATGGAAATACGAATTTCAAATATTATTGAATTAAACAATTTTTTACAACATAGTGTCTGAAAATAACATTCTTCATCTATTAAATTTAATATAAAGAAGCATTGATTGTTCTTTTTATTTCAATTTTTATGATATGATAGATTTCAGAGAAAGAGAATAGTTTTGATTTGTCAAAGAGACAAAACTAAGTAAAAAGAATTAAAGCGAGATTATTAGTTCTTAAAAAAAAAAAAAAAGAAATAAAGTTTATTTGTAGGCATCGTAAATGTTAATTTTTATATTTATGTATATACAGCATCAACACATCGAGGACAACTTCCACAACATTTTTGATTAGGAGAACATGATGCATCTGTTGTACAAGGTCGAGGACATCGACGAGTAGATGGAATACCAATAGGTGAGAATAAGACCGGTGGACAACAACCTCGATGTTCTTTTGGACAACAAACAGCTCTGCCACATTGATTATATTTACATGTGCCGCCTTCTGCTTGACATCTTAGTCCTTCTGTACAGCTGAGCTTTAAGATTGGTTGTGCATA